CTCTCTGTCGGCTTCTGGAGGTTTGCTGGCAGTCTCTGGTGTCCCCTGGCTTGTGGCTATATCACCCAAGTTCCGTCTTCATGTCCCTCTGTGTGTCTGTGTTGCAACATGCCCTTTCGATAAGGACATCAGTCACATGGGATTAGAGGCACATCCCGCTGCAGTGTGACCTCATTGTAACTAATTCCAATGTAAAGACTCGATTTCCAAGTAAGGTCACATCCTGGGGTTTAGGACTTCAACATATGAGCTATAGGGAAGAACATAATTTAAGAGACTCCAAGACCACTTCCATATCCCCTGCACATAGTTCAGGGCCTGACACGTGGGGGCATGCCATCACCTGCCCTCTGACCAAAGTGCCAAAAAGGACAGCTCACGTGCTCTCTCACACACACACACACACACACACATACACACGCACACGCCCAATCCTGCAGAAGAAACAGGACAAAGCTGTCACTGTGAGCTTCTGGTGAGGTGCCCAACCTCGCGGCCAGCTTTCCAAATTCTTCTCTAAGCATTATCACCAGGATACAGCAAGTGAGATAAAGAAACTGCAACCCAAGTGCCAATGCACTCAATTAACTACCCTGGCAGTGGCGGCTCCTTCAGGAGAGCTTAACTTCCCAGCGTTCCTCACCCGGGGGAAGGTGGGCAGGCCTCATTAGTCTTTCTGACCGAGAGGAGAACTTGAATACAAAGAGAGGAAAGCATGCCAGCCTCGTACACAACCTCCCCCCTGAGCTGAAGGGACCAAGGCTGGACAAGGTCTGCTGTTCTTGGTCTCAGGACAGTGGTACCCGGGCAACCATAGCACAGGGTGATGGGGAATGTTCACTCGTATCTTGGAGGACCTAAGTTCCCAGCTTCATTGCTTACTTGCTGTGTGGTCATGCCACAATTACAGAACCTCTCTGTTCCTCGGGTTCTTCCTCTAGAAAAATGGGGGTCATTTTCTGTTCCTGGATCCTCCTGTCACAGCGATTTGGTGGACCGAGTAAGAAAATGTAAGTCAAATGCTTGGAGTAGGGCCTGCCACTTAGCGCTTAATGTGATGGCTATTGTTGTAAATACGCTGTTTGACCTCTGTCCAAATGACTGACCCTCTCTCACCATCGCCTGAGTCTTCATAAGCTCTCTGTGACTGGAATGATCAGAAGTGGGGCCCACATAAGAGGTATTCATGGTATCCATTTTCTATTATGGCATAGCAAATTACTCTGAAACCTACAGGCTTAAAAAAAAAAAAGGTCATTATCTCAGTTTCTGTAGCTCAGAAATCCAGGAGCAGCTGAGCTCTGCTTACTACAGTTAGAGAAGGCTATAATCGCGGTATCTCCTGGGCCGCAGAGAGCTCGAGGTTGGACCAAGGGGGCGGCCAATTCTGGGCTCACCCTTGTGGCTACTGGAGGCCTCGGTTCCTCACGGGCATTTGGCTGGAGTTCCCTCTCACGCAGGCCTCACAGCGTGGCAGCTGCTGCATTAGAGGGAGCGAGACGGTAAGAAAAACAGACGCGGGGTCTTCTGTAATCTTACAGGGAACTGACATCCCATCACTTCTGCTGCTCTTCTCTTTGTTAAAAGCAAATCACGATTTATACACCTGTGTTCGCAGCAGCATGACTCACAACAGCCAAAAGGTGGAAGCCACTCACGTGTCCATCAACAGATGAATGGATACACAAAATGCAATACCGACGTACAATGGAGTATAATTCAGCCTTAAGTAAAAAGGCAGAAAATTCTGACACATGCGACAACATGGATGAACCTTGAAGACATTATGCAAGTGAACCAAGCCGGTCACCAAAACGTGCTGTATGATTCCATTTATAGGAGGTATCGAGAATAGTCAAATTTCATAAAAACAAAGTAGAATGGCAGTTGCCAGGGGCTGGAGGAGGAGGGATGGGGAGCTGTTGTTTGATGGGTATAGAGTTCTAGTTTGGCAAGATGGAAAAGCTCTGGAGATTAGCTGCACAATAAGGTAAACTGTTGAACCATTTATTTAAAAATGGTTAATATGGTAAGTTTTACATCATGTGTGGGTGTTTGCATGCTAAGTCACTTCAGTCATGTCCCATTCTTTGTGACCCCACGGACCATAGCTCTGCCAGGCTCCTCTGTCCACAGGATTCTCCAGGCAAGAATACTGGAGTGGGTTGCCATGCTTTCCTCTAGGGGATCTTCCCGACCCAGGGATCGAACTCTCATCTCCTGCATTGCAGGCAGATTCTTTGGCCAACAGGCCACCTGGAAAGACCCTATTGTGTGTAGTTTGCCAAAATTAGAAAAAAATAAAAAAGCAAGTCACAAGGTCCAGATCACATGCAAAGGGATGGGATTATACCAAGGCATCAACCCTAGAGGCTGGGGACCACTGAAGGTGGCCTGCCATCATCAGTCATGCATCCAAGGTTGGAAAGAATCTATCAGTTCAATTAGGACTGAATCCAGCATGTTTAAGGCCACCTAGCTGCTGACCACAGCCAATATGTGCAGAGCGGCACCTGCTGACCCTCAGATGCACCCTCTCAGGGAAGGTTCCTAAGCAACAGAATGTCATATGCAAAGACTGCTCCAAAGCCACTGCTGGTGGAATTACCTCGTAATGATTTATGCTTCCAATCGGTGAAGCCCCAACTAAAATTCGATTCCACCATAGTGTTCTTTGGTCTCCAATACATCCCATCTGGAACTGAAAGGTACCGTAATGACTGCACTTTCACGGTCCCATTCCCGCCTCCACGTCTTGGCAGGGTTTGATGTTGCTTTGCAAGACCACATGTAAGGAAAGGAAGTACATGGGGACGAGAGGAAGAAGAGAGGAGAGGCGCACACAAAGCTGGAGCCTCTCAGTGGAGACTCGACCTTTTCATACCCTCATCAAATTAGAGGAAAAGTATTTCAAGCACCCTATTTCCTGTCTTGGGGTCAGTTTTCTCCATCCCATCAAAATAAGCATCATAAAATATCATTTTATTTTCCCACATCAATTGAAAGCAATGATGCAATTTTTGAGGGCTGGAAGCCCAGCAGAAGCAGCTAGGATGTATTAATATTTTGACTAAAGGAGTTCATGTACAGAAGGTACCCAGCACAGTAGCTGGTACAGGGCAGGGATCGATAAACATTATTAAGATGACAATAGGTCAAATCCTACACAATGTAGTGTCTATTCAAGATGCCTCTGAAATTCTTCAGGAAGACATTTAAAAGCCCAGGATGGGTCAGGTATTCCCCTAGCATGGGCACATTGGTGTTCCTATCAGCAGCAAAATTAGCAGTCAGTTTGCATTTGCATTTAGAAGCTGCCTGACAGAGAAAAACATACTCTTCAATACTAGAATTATACCCAGGCACAGGGACATTCATGTCGCTAATGAATTATAGTGGTTCACAGATTTTCACATGAATTCAATTTATCTGGAGGGCCTATTAAAACACAGATTGTTGCTGGACTCACCCCTAGGGTCTGTTCGATGGTCTGGGTGCAGCCTGAACTTTGCATTCATAAAGAATTCCCAAGTGATGCTGATCCAGCTGGTCTGAGAACTAAACTTTCAGAGCCAATCATGAGAAGAGGACACAAGAAGGGGATTTTTCCAGACCAGGACAATCAGAGGCTAACTTTGCCCAAGACCCACCTCCCGGAGCTGCTCTCTGTACAAATTTTAGAAAAGTCCAAGTAGATACAGATTTTGTCTTTTCTCATCTATGGACCTCAGGCATATGGAATAGATTGATCTTAAGCCTTAATGTGTGGCCCCCTCTCACCAGTGGTCTATGCATGGCTCATTTGTTCATTCATTCATTTTTAACAATGTAATAAACATCTACCAAAATTAAAGATACAACCTTGAAAAGAACTTCCATCTAACTTCATCCTACCTCCCAACCATCCTACCTCCCAACATATGAGTTAACCAGTTATCCATCCTTATCTTGTTTTTCTTTTTGCAGTATTAAATCTGTAATCATTGATACCATCATAGAGTGGAGTACTGACTAACGGTCAAAACAAATAATCTTTACCAACAAAATAATATGGGTGGATCACAACAACTTAATACTAAGTGAGAAAAGTAATGATTGCATATCGATGATACCAGTTTATAACATTAGAAATATATACTTTTTAGGATGCCTTAAAATTGACATGCATTTTAAAAATCTTTGTATTTTTTTCTAATCACTGAAGAAATAAATGTGTGTTAACTGGAAAAGAGTCAGTGAATAAGAAAAGGAAACCAGTCAGTTTTAACAGGGGAGGATATGACCCCTCTGTGTCCTTCTGGGTTCCCTAAAAATCTCATCTTTCCATCCCCAAATGCATCCTTTGGTTTCCACTCAAAAGCTCTGAGAGGAATAGGCAGTTCACACAAGAGGAAGCAAAGTAGTAAACAAACACCCAGGGGGAAATGTTAACTTAGCTCATCATCAGAGAAATGCAAACTAAAGCATTTGGGGAACTATCATTCTATGACTACTAAATCAGCCAAAATAGGGAAGAGAGGACAAGAGTGAACTCTTGGGATATTACAGTAAACCTGATACACACAGCCAATACTAGCAGCAGTGGAAAATTTTTAAAAATTTCCCAACAGGTATATGATGAGATGTAGTCACGAACTGTGCAGATGTCTTACTCCGCTGAATCTATCCTGAAGAAGTAACTCAATGGAAATATCTCGGTGGCCCCCAACAATGCAACTACTTAGAAAACCATAGTGGAGAGCACTGTCACGGTATGCAGTGCAGCTGGGCAAACTACAATATTGAAGAGAAAAACGTGTATTTGCTATTTAATGCATGAGAAATACGAAGTACAAAATGGTAGGTGGGTTATGGTTAAAACCATGTGTGCGAGAGCTGCGTGGTTAAGAGCAGAAACGAGCGCGGCTGTTGCATTGGAGGTGGGATGGCAGTTGTTTTCAGTGTTACCGTGGCGCGGTGTCGTAATTATTATTTTTTTAAAGAACCGGGGAGGCTCCTACCTTGAGAACTCTCACAGCTCTCCTCGTCACTGTTGTCTTGACAGTTATTCTGCCCGTCGCAGATGAAGCTCTTGTCAATACAGAGGCCGTTCTTGCAGTGGTAGCGGGCAGTGGAACACAGCAGAGGGTTTGCTGCTGTGAAGGGAGAACAGAGCAGATCACCAGGCAGGTTAGCCAGTCCCCTCGCGACGCCCAGAGCCTTCTCCATCTAGGCGTGAACTCATCCCGGATGGCTGACTCAAAGCCTGTCCTGGGAGACTGGTCAAGCAATGACTTGGATAGGGCAAGACTTCCTCTGCCCCATTCTAAAAGCTCCTCCTTCTGCTATACCACAGGTTTTTGTTGGCTATCCATTTTAAATACAGCAGTGTGTACATGACCAGTGTTATGTGCCAGCCTGGATGGGAGGGGGGATTTGGGGGAGAATGGATACATGCACATATATGGCTGAATCCCTTCACTGTTCATCTGAAACTATCACATCATTGTTAATCGGCTATACCCCAATACAGTATTTTTTGGTGTTAAAAAATAAAACAAATTAAAAAATAAATTAGTTGAAAAAAAAAACCAGAAGCTTCTTCCAAGGCATCATGCTGGTGCCCTATAACCATACCAACATGGCCAGAGGGCAATGCCCAGCCCCAACTGGTCAACCTCGAGGTGGGCCAGCAGCCTCTGAGGGGTCTAGAGCAAAACCGGAGTCTCCCAGGAAAGTTAAGAATGGAACGGTTGGTAACAAAGAGAAGAGCAAAGATAGAAGGAGAAGCTGGGTTGGGGATCCATGAACTTGTGCCACGGACGGAGCCATGGCACTCGTAATCCAAGGGCTGTGTCAGATCCTACAGGTTCCCTAATTATGGACCTTCCTGGTGAGTCCTTGCGTTTCTACAGTTCACCAAGTTGAGCGCAGTGGTCCACTTTGCAATAAAAAAAAATCCATTAACCCACTCGGTCAGCCTGAGTGGCCCCCAGCTACAGGCACTTTCAGAAACCTCAAAAAGAAAAATGACAGAAATGGCCTCTTCCTTCAAGGAAGAAGGTGGCAACCAGCCAGCGTGAAGTCAACACAAAACCCCTTAACGAAGCAAATCTCCATGGAAAATCACTGTTTCTACTGCACAGTTTATCTTGCTTCACCACTCCCTGCAGCACAATTCAAGCAAGTCTCTTTCCAGGGCTCTATTTTCAATAAATGAAGCAGCAAAAGGAGAAATTACTCCAGACCCAACTCTGCCATTTATTAGCTGTGTGATCTAAGGCAACTTATTTCACCTCTCTGAGCCTCGATTCCTTTTTCCATGTACAGTACAGGCTCCATAATTTGAGGGCCCATTGTGAACTGACAATGTGAGCTCATCTGTTTAAAAATTATTTAAAAATTCAAAAAGATACATGCTGGACATAAAACCAAGTCTGGCACGCTTCGGAGCTAAACACGAATCCTGTGCTGGTCACAGGTCCATGAAGCTGACCTGGCTACTTAACAGCCTTCATGTGAGCATCAGTGAATGCTCAAATGAGATGACATGTGAGAAAATGTGTAGTGCAAAGTCTGACACATAGGGGCTCAGGAAATGTTGGACGTGCTCCCCTAGTTATGTCTGCCTTAGTCCTCCAGAGTGTGGTCCTCCCTGAAGGAGTGACATTGGTGATGATGAAGAGGGGTCTTCCTGGGATCTTGGGTTATGAATTGAGCCAGCACCTGCATTATACATTGTACCAGAGCAGGATGACAGATCCAGCACTGAAGACGGTTATGGGCTTAGGAACAAGTCAGCGCCAGCATCTCTGGGTGGTCCTCACCTGCAAGATAGCAGCTGGCATTTATCTTTCCCATATGCTTCACAGAGCTATTGTCAAGATGCACTGAAATCACAGCTGCAGACTGCAAACTTCACAGGGCCCTGCAAACCCGAAGGACTGTGGAGTTTTTTATTTTTTACCTTGTCAACTCAGAAAGTTTAATCTGAAAGGTCAGAGGAAGCAGAGGGATGGGGAAGCCAGCGCTCTTAGTTTTAAAGATGAGGGACCAGTGTGAAGGCAAGCAAAATGAGTCTGGCCTGGAAATGGAAGTTTTAATTATTTAAATCGCTGTGGGCCAGAGAATGGCTCCACTTGATCATGCTGAAACCAAAGTCTGACTTCAGCCAAAACCAGAAAGGGGAAACCCAAAACCACAAGTCACATTTGGTTTCTGTCCAAGGCAGCCCTCCAAACCCTTCTGCATCCCACCATGGTGGCCTCTGGCTTCCCTGGGACCCTGTGGGTCACATCTATGCAGCCAAAGCATCGACAACAATCAGCTCACTCTAATGGACAGCCTTGGAAAAGTGGAAAATCCCACCTCAAATAGAAAGACTTCCAAGAAGGGGCTGCTGCAAACTTACCTGAGTCCCCCTACTCCCAGTAGGAGGGCTATGCTGAACCAATCTTGGACATTGCTGGCGTCTACTGACTTTTCTTCAGCCTTAGACCCTTTCAACCTCATGAACTTTTCCAAGGAAAAGAAGTCATATGTGAGCATGTGCATACACATGTATCACATATATGCATGCCTATGTGTAAGTATGAGTATATCCAGATCACGTGCATGCGTGCTAAGTTGCTTCAGTCGTGTCTGACTCTGTGTGACCCTATGGACTGTAGCCTGCCAGGCTCCTCTGTCCACGGAATTCTCCAGACAAGAATACTGGAGTGGGTTGCCATGTCCTCCTTGAGGGGATCTTCCCAACCCAGGGACTGAATCCATATCTCTTATGTCTCCTGCACTGGCAGGCAGGTTCTTTCGCACTAGTGCCACCTGGGAAGCCCTGTTCAGAGCACACATATCTCCAAATGAATGAAGACTGTCTATATCTTAACACACAGCTCTACGGGTAAAGAATCCACTGGGACCAAAAACCGGTCTCAGTGCATAGAATGAATGCATATATTTGTTTTCAATGCATACAACCAAAAGAACCAGGATCAGAATATAGAAAGAACTCTCACAACTCAAAAGAAAAAAGACAAACAACTTAATAGGAAAATGGGCAGAGGACATGACCGGGCAATTCCCATCAGAGCAATGGCAAACGCTCAATAACAACTTGAAAAAATGCTGACAGGAGCCAGAAACGAAAGCACCACTTGAACCGCAGCAGACTTGCCAAACTTCAGGTCTTAAAATTCCAGGTTGTCGGTCAGGCTGGGGAGGGAGAGGAAGTCTTAGAGACTGCTCGTGGGAGTGTAAATTTGTAGATCCACCTCGGAGACCAATTTAGTGATACCAGGTGATGCTTAAGGGGCATATGCCCCATGGCCCAGTCATTTCACTTCCAGCTACACAAATGTTCGTTGAAACACTGTTTGTAAAATAAAAATATTAGCAATGACCCAAATATTCACCCACAGGAGAATTAACACCATGCGCTACTTTGTTAGAATTTTACAGCAGGAGATGGCTAGCTTTTTCTGTACAGGACCAGATAGTAAATATTTTAGCCTTTAGTAACCTTTGGGTCTTGGTCTCTTTCTTAACTACTCAACTTTGCCATGGTGGTACAAAGTGGCCATAGAAAATTCATAAATGAAGATCAGGGCTGTGTTCCAATAAAACTTGACTTATGGGTAATAAATACATTTAAAGTTAAGTAACTTTCAGAACAGGGCATAGGACAATTTGGGGCCAACACCTGCTGAAGAGCAGGGGAAAATGAATGAACCAATAAACAAGGTCCTATTGTAGAGCACTGGGAACTATATTTGATATCCTGGGATAAACTATAACAGGAAAGATAAAAAGAATATATATATATAACAGTCACTTTGCTGTATAGCAGAAATTAACACAACACTGTAAATCAACTATACTTCAGTTAAAAAAAATACAAAATAAGAAAGGACCAGAATCAAGATGGATCAATCTCACAATCATGGGAAAGAAGTTATAAAAGATGCTGGCAAGTTATGTGAAAATATGCATAGGCTTGTACCACTCAGATGGAATTACCTATGCAAAAGAATGCTATCTATTATTCAAGGTACGAAAATACATACTCGCACTGTAAGGTCAGTGGACACCTCTGGAGAGAAGGGGAGGACAGGATCAGAGAAGGGTGTACTGAAGACTGGTAATGATATTTGGTAAGATTTTATTATTTTAAAAACCTGAAGCAAATAAGGAATATAGCAATATGTTTTTTTTTATTGAGAAATAACTGACATAAAACATTGTATTAGTTTTGGGTGTACAATGCAGTGATTTGATATTTGTATATATTGCAATAAGTCTAGTTAACACCCGTCACCACACATAGTTACAAAATCCTTTTTGTGATGAGAACTTTAAGGATCTACTCTCTTAGTAATTTTCAAATATATAACGTGTTACTATTAACTATAGTTAATATAGTTACAACACTAGAATGTATTATAAATATAGTACTATTAATTATAATAATATAGCCGTGTGTGTTAGTTGCTCAGTCATGTCTGACTCTTTGCGACCCCATGGACTGCAGCCCACCAGACTCCTCTGTCCATGGAATTCTCGAGGAAAGTATACTGGAGTGGGTTGCCATGTCCTTCTCCAAATATAGCCATAACTATAGGTAATACATGGGACTTCCCCAGTGGCTCAGATGGTTAAAAGTCTGCCTGCAATGCAGGAGATCTGGGTTCGATCCCTGGGTTGGGAAGATCCCCTGGAAAAGGGAATGGCAACCCACTCCAGTATTCTTGCCTGGAGAATCCCATGGACAGAGGAGCCTAGCAGACTACAGTCCACAGGGTCACAAAGAGTCAGACACGACTGAATGACTAACACGCACACATAGTTAATATGATTTTTAAAATAGGGTGTTGGGAATACAGGTGTTCGTTTAACTTTTCTTTTTTCTTTCAGTATGTTTGAAAGAGTCTACCAAAAGTTTTAAAGAGTCAAATTTGGCAGAAATGTTGCAGTGATCACTCACTTTCCTTTAGTCTTTCCCCACAGTTATCTCTGGCCTACAGATCCCTGTCTTCAGAATCCTGTAGCCCATTTGCTCGGAGGACACAGGCGGATACAGGTCAACAGCCACACCTGGGATCCCTCCATATCAATGGCTCCTCATAAAACACTATGTCCCCACCTCCAAGGCAGGGCAGAG